TGTCGGTGGGAAGCGGGAGGTGTGAGGGGAGATCCGTGAGGGGAGATCCGTGAGGGGAGATCCGTGGGGGAGCGCCCCTCCTGTGGGCGGGCAGGGAGCTGTGAGGGGAGGCCCCTCCTGTGCCCAGGGGGGCTGTGAGGGGGGCTCGGCAGCAGCGGGGCCTGTTGGCTGCACAGCCCGGGGGCCCCCGAGCAGCCCTGCTGCCATCCTCCCCTCACTGCTCAGCCAGAGGACGAACCAGTTGCGCTGGCACAGCACAGCCAGGTTACCCGCTGCATCGCCGGGTGTGGAGGTGCAGTCTGAGGACTGAGCCCTGTTCACAGCTGCCCAGCTCTCAAACCAGTCCCCAGTTTGTATTTACTGGTCATTCTTCTGATAGACACGGTCTGCTCTCCCAGCAAGATCACTGCCACTTTCAGTGGGTCTGAAAGACTGAGAGCATCAAAGAAACACAAAGTGTTTGCTTGACTGTACAAAACTTCAGGCCCAAGTCATAAGGAAGAGGTTGATATTTTATGTGATGTGTAATTCAGGTGGAATCGAGGCAAGATAGGAGAGTGTTTACTCTTATACTGGTGCCATGTGGTATCTCTTTCATCTTCCTAGGAAGCTTTCTGTGCAGCTTGTTCTGCATAAAAAAAATCACTGCATCCCAAAGGGAATTAATTCAGCATCAGTCTTAGTGATTGTTCTGTGTGGCTGTACTTGCTTTTTATTTTAACGTGCATTAAATGCTTTGCCCTTGTTTCCCTTGTCCAAAGCCTTCAGTGACATCTTGTAAGTGCAGAGTATGGGAGGCTTGGCCTTTATTTTTTGGGCTGTTCTTCATTTGCACCTGCCACACACTTTCAAGGTATTGGGTTACCTGTGGCCAAGGCTGGCAGGAGACACACTTCCTTGTATTGTGCTGCCAGCTCCTGTTGATTTTGATCATACCCAGAGTTCTCCTTTCACCTTTCTGCCACTGCTGCTTGCATGCTTCCCAACATGTTTTGCTTCACTACTGCATTTGCTTTTCATTCTGCTGCTTCTGTTTCCAAGGAAGATCCCTAGGGTTACTGTGCTGCCTTGCTCCTGTGGGTTGTTTAAATGTCCAAATGTATAGCCCGAGTGCCTGGACTTCATCCCTGAATTTACAGGGCTGGTGTGCCCATTCTTTCCATTTAATGGTCTTTTTTTTTTTTTAAATGAGTGTGTCTGCTTAATTTGCCTCTGGTTTTGTTTCTAACGGGTGGTGTAGGTAGCCTTGGATGAGCTGCTTCCACTGGCTCTCTGAAATGCACTTTGAGTTGTTATTTTGGTGTATAATTGTTCTGAAATCCTGGTTCAGTCAGTGCCTGTTTCTCTGCAAATCACTGCAAATTGTTGCTAGTCATCTGATACTAGGAGCTTTCTGAATACAGTCTCTGCCTTTCTTGTGTCTGTTTCTCCTCTGATGGAAAAATACTTGGACACAGGGTGCTGTGAGGACCAAGACTTCATGTCCAGTATGTTTCAAGATCCTTAGTGCTATGAAAGATGAAGAGGCAATGCTCTCTGTGCCTGATTTAGGGATTGTAGACATGCTGGGCTGTACAGTGCTGCTGGGCAGGTTTTTTGAAACATGTTCACATGCTCATACTAGAATTGGTTCATAGTCATACTAGAGACATTGTTTTTCTTCTTTCCCCTTGTTTTCTTCTCTCCCATACCCCGTATAAAGGTCTATGCTTTGTTTGGCCACCTACTGCAGTTGCAAGTTTCTCCTGAGCCAGAGGAGGGCAGTTTATGAACTGGGAAGGAGCCAGGGTACAGATGTGTTTGCTTTTAAGTGTAAGGCTTCCTCCGGGCACCAGCGTGGGATGCTTCAGGCCCAGGCCAGATCAGAGCTGTGCTTTCCAGTGGATCAGGCTAGTTACACATTGGAACAGCACTGGACATGGCTATGTTTTATCCCAGGGCCAAACATAGAACATAGGTACTAATTAAAACCTGCTTATCGATAACTGGCAGCTTTTGAGAAGCTGCAGCTCACAAATGCCTAGGAGGCAAGCTAATAGAGACCATGCAGAATGATAGTGCTTTTCCCTCTGATTATTTCATCCTTAATTGGTGAAGTTTTTAATTATTTAATATAATTCATTCTATTAAGTGGAACAATGAAAGTTACTCTGTGTCCAGACTTTTCAGTCCACTCTCTTGTTCTCTTAATTAGTGTTAGAGCCAGAAATACTTTACTGGTGTATTCCTGATTGGTTTATAAGGGAGGAATAAAGCACTCCTGACTCACCAGTCTGGCAAGCAATGCCTCTTTTTGTCTGAGCTTTTGTTTCTAAGTTTGTCTTATTGATGCTCTGCCTGTCAGCAAGCTCCCAGCCTGGGGGCTGCAAATAGGTCTGTGGGGTAACAGTGGAGCACAGTTACTTTTTCAGCTAATCAGTCTGTCTCAGCTCAGGGCTCATTACTTCTGGAGGGGATGACAAATTGAAGACATCCTGTCTGCTCTGCCTTTCCTAACTGCTGTGAAGACATCTAATTCACATTACTTAAAAGAGGGAGCTCTGGTTGCTTGGTGTTCATGAAAATATTTACCCCAAAATGCTTGGTCTGTTTTTGAAGTATAGGCTTGGTTAAAAGGCTGCTTTCCCATAGCATTAGCCTTGGAAAGACTTTTACTCTCTCTGTTTTGCAGGTGGGGGTTCCAACCCATTCCAGCACCTGGAGAAGAGTGCAGTACTGCAAGAGGTAAATCCTTAGATGATCTCCTTTGTGTCTCCCTTTCTGGATAGAGTCTGTCCCTTTCTTGAGCAGGTCACTGGAAAACTTCAGCAAGGAAGTGGGGACTTGTTACAGTCCTTCTAGCTCTGAAAGAAGTGGGCAACACACCCATTAGTTCTTATTTTATTGTTGGAGGAGAAATGGAGAAGGTTAAAATGGTCTCTGTAACAAATTAAAGACTCTAAAATAGTAGTGAAATTAATAAAATTATCTGGGAAAGCTCACCCTGAAACAAGAAGCTCACAATGTGGTGTTTGTATCAGTGGTCAAGACCAGGCAGGTCAGTGCTGGTTAGGGGTGGGTGTCAGCATCCTTTGTGCTTTCTTTCCAGGCACGAGTGTTCAATGAGACTCCCATAAACCCACGAAAATGTGCTCATATCCTCACCAAGATCCTGTATCTCATAAACCAGGTAAGGAAGAGAAAATGTACACCTATACAGAGGCACCTGTAGCAG